CCATCTGCTTAAAATTTTCATATGGAGAGTCCATATTATTAATTTTTTGGTTCATTTTTTCAAGGTCAGTTTTCGTCTCATGTTTTTTGCTGTAGCTGCCATATGGGTGGCAATTGCCTCTTGAATTGCTTGTAATTTGCTTGTGTGCGTTTCTGGAAATTATTGGCCTTTTCTTGTTGAAGCATTGTATTAATTGATCTCTGATAAACTGTACTTGCAGAAGAGGGGGCAGAGTGTACTTTTTTTGCCAGCTTTAGTTAAATTCGGGACACTCATTCCTCGCCCTCTATTCTTTTAATCATACTTTATAATCTATCAAGAAAATTCAAAGTTGAAAGTCAAATTTAAAAAATTGTACTCCAATAAGCTCCAATCAAATAGGAGAAATAAAAAGAATCACTCTGTCTCTAAACTGCTTGTAAGATTCCAGGTCAAACTGTATTTGTAATCCAAGGAAGTCAGATGACTTCAAAACAATTTGTACTTTTAATTATCATCCATCCTGTAGAGAAAAACAACCAAAAGAGATTCTTCATTTTTTCCAGTCACAATCTCCAGGACTATCTCAATGATATTAAAGAGTTTAGACTGTAAGCGATGTCTGGGTGTCTAGCCAAGTTCTGACTCTCCAGCCACAATATCCAGATAAAGTTAGCAAGCAAGGCAAAGTGTAGTTCTTAGTTTTGTCACTAGATGTCACTAGATGTCCATTTAGTATTTTTCCAATCAAGCTTTACAAAATTAACAAAGTTATAGTCCGATGCTTTCCAATAAAAAAGTTCACAAATATTAAAGCTCCCCAAAGTATTCTTCTGTCCCACTCAATTATCTCCGGTAGCATTGTAAATTACTTAAATTTCCTCCAGAGGCTTAAACTGCCGCTTTTATTCAGGAGGGAGGAGTAAAATAAAATCCCCCCTCCCTTTAGCTTTGAGGATTTCTTTCTTTCAGGAGCTTTTTTCCAGAACAGGTTTTTCAGTTGTAAAAAGATAAGGAAGATAATATCACCCAGATCAGCTGTTTTGCTATTGCTTGGATGTAGTCATTGGTCTCCTGGTGGTCAGCAGCTTCTGGCTGGCAGCATGGATGGGGTCAGCCTTTCTTCCTGCTGGTCCAGGGGCTTCCTTGGATCAAGTGGGTCGGCTGCCACCAACCCGCGATCTACAAGGGTTTGCCCTTTGGCCCGTTGTCTCTATGGGGCGATTTTCTGTCCTTTTGGAGCCCCAGCAAGCAGAATTCGGGCGTGGGAAACAGCCTTGTTTTCCCATGTCTGTGTTACCGCGGCATCACAACCGAAAGCCCAAAGTCTGAATTTTTATCACATGACCATGAGGATGCTGTAATGCTTGTGAATGTGAAAAACGGTCATAAATCACATTTTTCAATGCCATTTTAACTTTGAACGGTCACTAAATGAACTGTTGTAAGTTGAGTACTGTACACTACAGCAGGACTTTAACACATGATTGTCTTTAGGTGAACCACAAAGTGGTAGATCTCTTTACTGATAACACAGAAATATCTGATTGTTTACCAAACTATGTCTGAAATTTGTTAGACATAGCACTTATCTTTGTATAAGCTAAATACAACAAAAGAAAAGTGGCACATTACGTTTATTCCCATATTAAGTAATATAAATGCTCCTTATCAGATTTGCTTATAATATATGTCCATTGGAAAGGTATATACAGCTCAGAAATCTAAAAAAAAAGGAACAAGACAAGTGAAATTTACATCTGTAGAGAAGAAAAATGATTTTGGGGTATATATTTTGTTGAAAACAAGAATAGTAGGAAAACAGAAATAATGATTCTGGGAGAAAATTCTACCAATCATTTAAAGGGTTTCTCATTTCAGATTTCTTTTACCATGTGCGAGCAATTTAGAGAGGGAATGTCAGTTTCCAAAGTGTAGAGAAAATCTAACATTATTATGCTTTAAACAAGGAAAATATGCATAAATATCTATTCAGTTTTATAAACTAATTCAGTTACTAAACACAGATTCAAAATTTATACAAATTGGTAGCCAATTAAAATAATATGTTTAAAGCAATCTAGACTTATTCCTAAAGGAGATCCTATTCCAGTTTTCAGATCATTAAATATAATTTTATAAAACTCCAAATAATTCCTCACAATATATTACTAAGCAGATGGGGAAGGGGAAGAAAGAGAGAGGGGCTGCTTATGAAAATATACATATAAACATATTTGATTCAGTTTCATTATCATTTTAAAGTGTTAAATTTAGTCTCAGTTCTATGCATTGATGCATATATCAAAACATGAAAATTAATGAAGAATACTTCCTAAATGTTTTTGTTGACGATATGATCTTGGCCATAGTTAATGCTGTACAAACTGTACTTGTTTTTTAAGAAAAATATTTGTAGTCAGAGTGGCCTATAAGTCCAGTAAATAAATAAAACTTTTCAGTTTTGCACTAGTGTCAGCATTATGTGTTAATTATGAGAAATTAGAATTACTGAATGTTCGTAAATTTACCAGAGGTTTTGTGGAAACTAATGAATATTCCTCAAACTTAAAAGATTAAGAATATATAAAAATTTAAATATTTTTTAGAAGAAAACTATATTCTAGTATGGAAAGATTGTACAAGGATTTGACTTGATAGGAGAAAGGTTTATTTAATACAAAGGATAAAATAGCTGGATATAAAATTCCAGATGTGATAAAATCTTAATTTTATAATAAGGTAGGATTAAATTAATTAGTAGAATTTAGAAGCTCCTGCAAAAATGAAAAATAGAATAACATAAAAATGTATGTTCTGTATAGAAAGTACAAGTATATATGTATTAGTGACTTTGAAAACAGGAATTTTTTTGTCACTTAGCTATTGCATGCATGGTTTGTCCCAATCTGCTATTATCTTTATTGCTGAATTACAGCTCTGATTTATGTAAAGTTTACTTCATTTTTTAACATGTATATCAGTTCTGGCAGCAAAGTTAACAATCTTTCCTGTACTACTAGTTTTCCATTCATCGTGGTTAGAATTTGAATTACATGATTTTTATCTAAATAAAAGATGTGTGAGATTCTTTTAATTAAAAATACTATAGCTGAATAAAATTCAAAATAAACAGTATATTCCCATTTTCATAGGTCATGACAGAAAACATGTTTATAGATCAGGAAGCTGCTGACCTTGAAATAAAGATAGTTCAAACACAGAATGTACAGAAATAAAAATAGGAGAAATAACTTTCTTATCTAATTTTTCCAAATGATTTATTTAAATATAAAACATATTTTCTGTATGTAACCCATGTAGGATTATATTAAGCAGTTTCTCTATTTAGTATTTTCATCATTAGTGGAGTTTAACAATTATATTACTTATTTTTCAACTGTTGAACAGGTGAGCAGTGTTCATTCAACAGATACAATGTGCCTTATGCCTTGTCAATTGGCATAAGCAAATAGAATTGCCTACTTTCACTTCTCATGTACATATTAAAATATGTACACAACAAATCATAGTTTTCAATTTTCTAACAAAGGCTTTTCTATATGTTTTATAAATGTCTACTGGGAACATTTTTTCTTTTCACGGCATATTGCATTTCTAGTTATATATATCCAGAAGTTGACTTCTTAGATCAGGGATAGGCAACCTTGGCTCTTTTATGACTCGTAGACTTCAACTCCCAGAATTCTTGAGCCATGCTGGCTCAGGAATTCTGGGAGTTGAAATCCACGGGTCATAAAAGAGCCAAGGTTGCCTACCCCTGTCTTAGGTAGAATGGTCATATGGTAGCAGATTGTATTGTGGCACACAGCTGGCTCCTGCAGAACTTTTTGATATTTATTTTGTTGGACAATAACAGCATACATTTTTCAAAGGCTTGAGAACAAGCATGTACAAAGGATCCATTTATGTCTTAGGAATATCAAGTCTTAAAGCAAAATAATAAAAAGAAAGAATGTAGGGCAAATAAAATCCTTAAATAATTGACTTATTCAACACGATAAGCTTCCCACGTTTAAAAACAAATTCCAGTCATAATGTCTGGGTTCTGGGTGTAAGCTGTTCATCTGAAAAATGTTTAGCAATGGATTCTCAATTTGCATTTTATCCACATGTTGGGTATATTGTTATGGCTAAATAGAAGTATCTAGTTTGAAGACATACCTTCAACAACTTTATTGTCACTTTAAATGTACACCAATCGGCATACATCAAAATGTAATTTCATAGCATACAGCTCTCAAAGAGTCACCACCTCCGATATACACTCCTTGTTTGTGGCCAGCTCAAGTTTCAGAATGTCCATTTTAGTCTCTAGGGAGTGAACGATGGCAAATAGGACAGATGGAAACGGAGCTCCATGTGGATTAGCCCTCAAATTAGTTTATATTCCTGCATGACAACCTCGTCTCCTTTCCTTTTTCTGATCATGTCACTTCCATCTTTTCCTTAAAGGGGCCGCCTCCAACTCCTCCAAAAGCCTCTCTCCCTTCCTGTGGGCCTCCCAACAATCTTATCCAGTTTCTTTGCTCCATAAGCCCCGGGGCCACTCCTCCTCTGTCTTCTTTCAAAACAGCCCTGATTTGCAATAGAATCTGTCACTGTGCCAGCAATCAGATCTTGCTGCCGGCAGAACAATTTCAAACAGCGCAAACGACTTTTAATGGTCTCACCAACAGTTCCGAAACAGCTAAAAACTCGCTATACTAGCAAAGATTGTCAGTTGTATGTTACCTTAGTCCCACATAAATCACATTAAAACCTTCCTGATCATGTGGCCTATATTCTTTAGATCCCTCTAAAAACTTTTTACCTTTGAGAGCCAATGCAGCCATAGCCAATCCAGGCGCCGCCATCTTAGAAACTAAGGAGACTAGCAGCATCAATGAAGTTTCCAAATACTATAAGGGGAATTATTTATTTAAATGTTAATAGCATGAATTGTGTAGTAAGACAATTATAGAGTTGTCTATAATTTTTCCTGTTTTTCTCCCCTGAAGGTATTTATTGTACTGGGAGAAAAGATTCAGAGAACAGCCTATTGCTAACTTCTGTTGTATAATAAGGACAAACTCTGAAGCAGCTTTAGGTAAGTAAGTTTTGTAATAGAAATTTTGTAGGCCTGGTATGAAATATCCCCATTTTTACTAATCACCGTGACACATTTTTATTTCGTACTTAATTACCTTATATGAAAAAACACCCATTTGAGGATTTATGTTCCATGAATCCTTTGATTTATATTAAATAGTTTGTCGCTGTGAAATACTGTAAAGTTAAAGATATAGGGATAAACAACCATAAATCACATTGTGATTCGTAAAGTCTTTAGGAATTGAAATGCAGCTGGAAATAGTCAAACTTGGGGGCATATCTTCTCACCAATTTCTATTTGAAAATCAAATAATTAAGGTGAGTTAATTCTTTGATCATGCTTTGTACACTAAATTGAAAAGAAGGACCCATGGAGAAAAAAAATTTCAAAATGAAGCTTTAGCTTCTCCTATAGCTCTTTGCTACCAAGGAACCATAAAATGTAAATGTCTAATTTCAAACCGCAAAAATATATTGGCCGATGTTGTAGAATCTAACCCAGTGAACATGAACTACATTTATAGTTTTTCTACATGTTTTAATGTTACTGTCCTCTCAAGATTATCGGGTTCAGGAAATAGGAGTCATCAGGAGCCTTGGAATGTAATTTAATATAGTTAAGGTAATGTCACATAATCTTGAAAACACCCCCAAAACCTTTCTCTGTTTCAACTTATTTTGAACCCAGTAAGGACAGAATTATTACCAGTTTCTTTCTTATGTTTTCTACCTTTCCAGGACTCAGATATCTTTTCTGTATTCATATTGCATTACCCTCCCCCTTCTCTGAGTCAAGCCCATTTCTCTTCACATGATCTTTCCCCACACAGTTACTCTATTCTCCTGTACATGAAGACAGGCTCAGCATCTTGCAAACTCAACAAATACTGAGATATTGAGGTGGAAGATTTAGATGAAACTGGAATGTGCTTCCTCTTCTGGCTGCCAACAGCAGCTGGAGAGACCAAGAAGATATGAGCAAGAGGTTTTCTTCTTGGTGATCATTGTCTAGAGCAGAGGTGAGGAATGATGGTCCCTATGACTTGTGAACTTCGACTCCTGGCTCAGAAATTCTGGGAGTTGAAGTCCACAAGTCATAAAAGGGCCATCGTTCCTGGTCTAGAGAGTCTAAAGATGGTTCATGGAATAGGGTTTGCATGGGTATTTCAGATGAAAGTAAAGGACAGATTGCATTATGTGAGCATCCTTTGCCATTTCCCAGGATTATTTCATGTCAGGATAGTTGTTGTAGATGAAATGAAATATTCAAGCCCCCTCTTCCTGCATCTAGAATCCAAAATATACTCCACCTCATGTTATTCTGTGAAAACGTATGGGAGAGGGAAAGGTGCTGAACATGAGAAACACAAAAAAGAATTGTCCCCAATATGTTTTTTCAAGAGACAACTGGACTTTCTTTGTTTCCCATTAAAAACGTTTCATTTCTCATCCAAGAAACTTCTTCAGTTCAGAACTGAAGAAGATTCTTGGATGAGAAGTGAAATATCTTCAAGGAAAAACAAAGATAGTCCAGTTGCCTCTTGAAAAAGCACCTTTGGGAGAACCATGACATGGATGACTGAGAATCTCCATATATAGGATAGGATAGGATAGGATAGGATAGGATAGGATAGGATAGGATAGAATAGAATAGAATAGAATAGAATAGAATAGAATAGAATAGAATAGAATAGAATAGAATCATTGTCATTTTAAATGTACATTAATCAGCATACATTAAAAATGAAATTTTGTTGCATTTACTTAGCTCTCAAAAAAATGCCATTATGCATAAACCTACATATACACACATATACGACACAGAGAAACATCACAGTGTAGTTTGAATGTATACATATACATGGCAAAAAAAAGAATTCTGTGAATTTACAAGATGGATGTCATAAGGAACAAAGTTGTTACAGAATCTAGTAGTTTTACTATAAATACTTTGAAACCTCCTCCCAGAGGGGAGCAACAGAAACAGACCATAAAGGGTGTGTATGGGGTCTCTAACAATGCTTTGAGCTCTGAGCACGTAGTGCTTATAAGCAGTTTCCTGAATAACGGGAAGTGAGCTCCCTATAATCTCAACTGTCCTTACCACTCTCTGTATGGATCTTCTATCTGAGACACTGCTATCACCAAATAGTGATGCTTTGTTAAAATGCTCTCAATTGTGCTTCTGTAAAAAGTGGCCAGGACAGAAAGAGAAAGATGTGCTCTCCTCATCCGACGCAAGAAATGCAAATGCTGGTTTGCGCACTTCACTAATGTATGAAGAGACCAAGTCAGATTGTTAGATATCTGCAGCTCCAGGTACTTAATACTGTTGACCACCTCCACAGCTGCAGCCTTGATACAAAGTGGAATATGACTATGCTGGCTCTTTCTAAAATCAACAATGATCTCCTTTGTTTTATTAACATTCAAAACCGAGTTATTTTTATTGCACCAGTCCACCAAACCCTTCACTTCCTCCCTTTAAGAATCTTTCTTATTCTCCTGGATAAGACCCACCACTGCCATGTCATCCACATACTTCACAATATGATTCATAGCAGACAGCACAGCAGTCATCAAGGTGAACAGTAACGGACTCAAAACACAGCCCTGTGGGAAACCCGTACTCAAAAAGATGGAATTGGAAACTTTTCTTCCAACTTGCACAAACTGGGGCCTGTCAATAAGGAAGTCAAGTATCCAGTTATATAAGGAAATATTAAAACCTAATAGACCCAGTTTGTTCACCAAATGCTGAGGAATGATTGTGTTGAACGCCAAACTAAAATTAACAAATAGCATTCACCCGTGAGTATTTTTCTCCTCCAGGTGTGCCAAACTAAGATGAAGCACACAAGAAAGTGCATCATCTATAGAACGGTTCTTCCAATAAGCAAATTGTAATGAGTCAAATGTAGGGAAAAGGCATGAAACAATATAACTATACCAATCTCTCAAAACATTTCATCATAATGGAAGTGAGTGCACCTAGATGGTAATCATCAAGGCATGTAATTATATATTTTGGGGGGACTGGTACAATGATTAGTCTTAAAACATGATGGAACCATGGCCTGATGCAACGAAAGATTGAACATGTCTGTAAGAACAGAGGCCAGATGGTCAGCACACTCCTTAAGTATTCACCCAGGGATATTATCAGGACCCACGTGTTGACTTTCCATAAGATCTTTCAAACAGCACTTGTATCAAACTTAAGCATCTGATCATCAGGAAGGGAAACAGCCTTTCTTGCTGGAACGTTATTTGAGGCCTCAAACCATCCAAAAAACAGGTTTAGCTTATGGTATTTAGAAAATCTGTGTCACTATTACATGTCAGGGAAGCTGCCTTATAATCAGTGGTAACACGGGTACTTTGCCACATGCACCTAGGGTCCATAGGATCTTGGAAAAAGTTCTGTACTTTCTGACTATAGGCACGCTTTGCTGGTTTTATAGCACGTCGCAAATCAGCTCTTGCTATAGTAAGTGCTGCCAAATCGCCTGATTTAAAAGTGGTGTTTCTCACCTTCAACATCACACGTACCTCCTGAGACATCCAAGTTTTTTCATTTGCCTGTATAACAATAGTCTTAAGAATGACAGGCTTCTCTTTTTGCGCAGTAGTGCAGCAATTGAGGGATCGCGGGCCTCTGCAACCTACGGCCGATTTCTACCTGTTAGGGAACCCTAAATGGGCCTAAAGTCAACCCCAGAGAAGCGAGAAGAAGGAGGGAAGTCCTGTCAACTGTGGAGAGACAGTGGTTGATCCAATCACTCCAGGAAAAGCCCTCCAGAAATCAGCAGGAGAAAGGCTAGCTTTACTCCAGAGTCTAGCCCAAGCTACAAGCAGCCGAAGCCCAAAAGCACTATTTTAAGCTGATTGTAAACAACATGCTTGGAACTGGGTAGGAACATTGATTTTCTCTCTTCTACTTGATAATTCATTTCCTGGGGAAAAAAAAACCCAAGAAACAAAAAGCCTCCAAAAGTGAGGAGGGGGACCTTTGCCCCACCCTCCTAAAGACAGAAGCATCGAATTCAACTTTTTATGGGGGACAGAAATATATTGAAATGAATATAAGACCTAAATCTGGATAAGTTTGAAATTGGTGGAATTTGTTAAGAATTTCTTTTTAAATCATGAAAACAGAAGAAAGCAACTGTTTATTTTGAAAACTGAAAAACGAACTGGTGCTGACATCTAGTGGTAGAGGAGGGCCTTCTCTGTGATGGCGCCCACGCTTTGGAATCAGCTCCCCCCGGAGATTAGGACAGCTCCCACCCTGTTGGTCTTCCGTAAGCTACTTAAGACCTGGCTTTTCCGGCAGGCCTGGGGTTTATAAAACCTAACCCCTGGATGATTGTCTTTGTACTGTTGTTTTGTTATGTTTTATGTGTTTTTTATTGTTAGCCGCCCAGAGTCCTTCGGTAGTGGGGCGGCTTATAAATTTTAAAAATATATATATATATATATATATATATATATATATATAATATATAGGTCTTTGGTTGTTCGGGTTTTCTCCCGCGTAAAATTGGAAGTGTCTTGGCGACGTTTCGACGAAGTCACATTCGTCATCTTCAGGCTGGTGTTTTCAGCTTCTTGCTTTGAGCAGCAATGTGTGGTCTTAGCTGTTTCTTCCTTTTAACTGCCAGTGGGGGTATGAACTGATTGGGTGGGAGCTTGGCTGTGTTCTGATTGGGTGGAGGTGTGTTCTGAATGGTTAGGGGCTTGGCTGTGCTCTGATTGGCTGGGGGAGTGTTCTGTTTGGTTGTGCTCAGGTTAGTCTGAGTTGCAGAGGGGTTTAAGATTTTGGGGTTAGGGAGTCGTTTGTCAATAAGGGCAGGTTTCCAAATGGCTGGTAGGCGGGAGGTATCATCTCGCTTGTTCATGCTGTGTGGGCGTTTTTCTATCTCGATGGCTTCTCTGATTATTCTGTTATTAAAATGTTCACTTTTGGCAATGGTTCTGGTATTTTTAAAGTCA